GAGGCGGCCGTCCCGCCGGCCGTCGGAGGAGTCACCCCTTATCCTCCACGCGGCCTGCCACGCCCGGGCGTGCCGCCGCTGAGCGACGGCCGCTGGCAGCGTCGCTGGAACGACGTCGAGGCTCAGCCACGCGCAAAGAGGGGTGAGGGGAGGGGTGAGGGGAGGGGGAGGGGGAAGGGGGAGGGGTGAGGGAGGTTAGGGGGAGGGTTGAGGGGATGGGGGGGAGGGCTTTCTCAAACCACCCCCTGCTCCTTGTGAATGCCCGCGGCACTCTATCTAGAGGCAGGCCGTCGCCTTCTGAGACCAGCCTCCTGCTGAGGAAGCGCTTCCCCCCTCCCCCCCACCCCCTGGTGCGCGCCGTCGAGAGGCTGCTTCTCTCAGGGAGCCCCGCGGTCAGCCCCGGACCCCGACCTCGGACCCACGGGTCGGGGAGCCTCCTCGCGGCCGAGGGGCTCGCCGCGGCCCGGAAAAAAGCCCTTTCGGTTTCCTTCATTGGTTCCTGACGTGGTATTCCTATCGGTGGTGCAATGACTTAGAAGAGGAAGAAGAAGAAGAAGCATAAACATAAAATTAGCCTGGCGAAGGACCCAACCATATGCAGTTGAGAGTACCGCAATTGTGAATATCTTCTTCGGTGGCGCTCCCTATGGGGCCACGAGCCGTATGAGGGGTGTGCCGAAATGCGTGGCAGTGTACACAACACGAACGAAGACTATAGGTCCGAATATGAAAGCTTGAGCGCGTGCGAGTCGGATCGCGAGCGAGTCTGATTATGAATGAATCTGCGCGCGATTGATTCTATTCGCATGAATGCGTGCATGGATACGCCCAGTGTAAATGTATGTATACGACTGTGAACAGTTTGGGTCTGCGTGACTCTCGGTACTCGTGACTCTGAGCGTCGCCTCTGCAGGGGCTTCCCTGGGAACCCCGACGGCAGCGCCCGCGCGCCGCGACGCCCATGTCGGCACGCCACACACCTGGTGTGCGGGACGCATGCGGCGGCAGCACTGGGGCCTTCGGTGGAGCTCCCTGTGGGGCCACGAAACGTGTGAGGGGTGTGCCGAAATTGGTGTGCGGGACGCATGCGGACGGCAGCCATGGAGCCTTCGGTGGAGCTCCCTATGGGGCCACGAAACGTGTGAGGGGTGTGCCGAAATGGGTGTGCGGGACGCATGCGGCCGGCAGCACTGGGGCCTTCGGTGGGGCTCCCTGTGGGGCCACGAAACGTGTGAGGGGTGTGCCGAAATGGGTGTGCGGGACGCATGCGGACGGCAGCCATGGGGCCTTTCGGTGGAGCTCCCTATGGGGCCACGAAACGTGTGAGGGTTGGTGCCCGAACATGGTGTGCTGGACGCATTGCGGACGGCGAGCACTGGGGCCTTCGAGTGGAGCTCCCTATGGGGCCACGAAGCGTGTGAGGGTGTGCCGAAATGGGGTGTGTGCGGGACGCATGCGGACGGCAGCCATGGGGCCTTCGGTGAGCTCCCTATGGGGCCACGAAACGTGTGAGGGGTTGCCCATGGGTGTGCGGGACGCATGCGGACGCAGCACTGGGGCCTTCTGTGGGCTCCCTGTGGGGCCACGAAACGTGTGAGGGTGTGCCGAAATGGGTGTGCGGGACGCATGCGGACGGCAGCCATGGGGCCTTCGGTGGAGCTCCCTATGGGGCCACGAAACGTGTGAGGGGTGTGCCGAAATGGGTGTGGCTGACGCATGCGGACGGCAGCACTGGGGCCTTCGGTGGAGCTCCCTATGGGGCCACGAAACGTGTGAGGGGTGTGCCGAATTGGGTGTGCGACGCTTGCGGACGGCAGCACTGGGGCCTTCGGTGGAGCTCCCTATGGGGCCACGAAACGTGTGAGGGGTGTGCCGAAATGGGTGTGCGGGCCGCATGCGGGGCGCACGGACGCACAGCCATGGGGCCTTGGAGCGGTGGAGCTCCCTATGGGGCCACGAAACGTGTGAGGGGTGTGCCGAAAAATGGGTGTGCGGGACGCATGCGGACGGCAGCCATGGGGCCTTCGGTGGAGCTCCCTGTGGGGCCACGAAACGTGTGAGGGGTGTGCCGAAATGGGTGTGCGGGACGCATGCGGACGGCAGCACTGGGGCCTTCGGTGGAGCTCCCTGTGGGGCCACGAAACGTGTGAGGGGTGTGCCGAAATGAGTGTGCGGGACGCATGCGGACGGCAGCCATGGGGCCTTCGGTGGAGCTCCCTATGGGGCCACGAAACGTGTGAGGGGTGTGCCGAAATGGGTGTGCGGGACGCATGCGGACGGCAGCACTGGGGCCTTCGGTGGAGCTCCCTGTGGGGCCACGAAACGTGTGAGGGGTGTGCCGAAATGGGTGTGCGGGACGCATGCGGACGGCAGCCATGGGGCCTTCGGTGGAGCTCCCTATGGGGCCACGAAACGTGTGAGGGGTGTGCCGAAATGGGTGTGCGGGACGCATGCGGACGGCAGCACTGGGGCCTTCGGTGGAGCTCCCTGTGGGGCCACGAAACGTGTGAGGGGTGTGCCGAAATGGGTGTGCGGGACGCATGCGGACGGCAGCCATGGGGCCTTCGGTGGAGCTCCCTATGGGGCCACGAAACGTGTGAGGGGTGTGCCGAAATGGGTGTAGGGGACGCATGCGGGCGGCAGCCCTCGGGCCTTCGGTGGAGCTCCCTATGGGGCCACGAAACGTGTGAGGGGTGTGCCGAAGTGGGTGATGACGATGACGATGACGACGATGACAATGACGATGATGATGATGATGATGATGATGATGATGATGACGATGATGATGATGATGATGATGATGATGATGATGATGATGATGGGAGGAGGGAGGAGGGGGAGGAGAGAGGAGGAGGAGGAGGTGGGACGCGGGGCGCTGTCTCTTCAAAACGAGGACCCAACACCACAGGATGGTTGGGAAATAAAAAACAACAAGCAACACTTTTTTAGTCAGCGGCCGCGGGCGAGCGCGCCGGCGGTGAGTCAGGTCAAAGCGGGCTACGCAGAGACTAACTAGGCAAAGGAAGCGCGGGAACACAACCAACAAAACTCCTAAACATAAACTTTTGGCGCGCCGCGCGGATTTGTTCTGGCTTGGCAGCGCCTCGGCACCCCTGCGGGGGCGGCAAAGAGGGGGGTGATGACTGGGGGGGGGGGATCCCATGGCGCGGGCCATGATATTTCCCCAGATTTCAGGGCGCCTCTTCTTCTTCTTTCATTACGTCCCTGGCCCCCCCCATTGGGCCGCGCACGTGCCGCCGGCCAGGACTTGCACCCACCCCCCCTCTTGGACACCCCCCTCTTGGCCGCCCCCGGATGGTCTGATAGCGCTCTTCCCCATGGACTCCTGCGGGCGTTCGTGCTGGGACGGTCTCTCCTCTCGGCACGCGGCCTGCGCCGACCGGGAGGTGCCGAGGCGCGCGCTCCTCGAGGGAGCTCCGCCGCGGCAGTGCCACCTTCGACCTCCGCGCGGCCCTTCCGACTGTCGGGCGCTCCCGACCGGCAGGTGCGTTGGAGCACTCGGGCCTGCAGCAGGGGTGTCCCTCCGCTTCTCAGGAGGAAAAGAAACACACAGACACAATTAAATCTCGATTCCCCAGAAAATATGGGAAAATATGGGAAGGGGTGGGGAAAACAAAAACCCAGAAAATATGGGAAAATATGGGGGATATTTTTATTTGTGTGTATTTATTTGTGTGTTCCAGTTCCCCATTCAACTTCTCGCTGCGCCTCACCGCGGGAACAGAGGCGACACGCCCGCTTCTCGCGTCGCCTGGTCGTGGGCGGCTCGCGGCACGCCCGATGCTCGCTGCAGGCGGGCCTCCGCCAGGGCCGTGCACGCTCGGCTCTCGCCTTTCCCCTGGCGGTTGGTTTGATATTCGCCCGACAGCCTTAGACGACCATGCGCAGACGATTTGACGGTTGTACGCCCTGCGGGGCTGCGGAAGATACCAGAAATTCAGGTTGCATTCGCGGAGTACGATATGGCGTCGGGACTACGCTTTAATTTCCCCAAGGTTGTGTTGATACCGCTCTTCCACAGAAGCCGCAGCATTTGCTGAACAGATGGCTCAGGCATGCCCTGGGTGGGCGGGAATACGAGTTGCTTTCCACGCGAAGCACTTGGGCTTCTATCTGGGCCCCGGCCAGGAGCACCGTGCTAATGCAGACCCAATATTCGGGGGTTCGCAGAGGTAGGGTTATCCGAATTTGGCGCTGTGGAGCGGGCCCGGCCAGATGCTCCCGTTCAACGCTTGTCCTTCTTCCAGGGGCCGTCCGGAGCGATTTTCCCTCCAACCCCACCTGTGCCCCCACCCCACCTTTGTGCCCCCCCGAGATGCGGAACTATTCAAACTTCGCTTTTGGCTGGGGCGCAATATGCGGTGGCTTGCTTTATATAAGACGACAGATTACTCTGTATGCGTTTTCTCGGTATTAAACTTTGTCTCACAGTGTCACGGCCCTCCCCCTGATTGGGAAGAGACAAAAGAAGCGGCAATTCGCAAGCGTTTTCCCTGGCCTAGGTGCTGGTGTTGCCCTACTGACCTGCGTTGCCTGCAGATGCTGATTACCCCTAGATCCCTGCCGGACCTCCGAGTCCGCTTGGTGGCGGCGCAGTTTAGAGCGGTTCATTTGGAAGCATGTGGTCAAGGTGGCCTCCAGGCCAACGAACTTCCCATGCAGCTACGACGCTGGCGCGAGGAGTCAGACTGTTGCTCGAAGGGTTCTTTGGGCCGAGTGGTTTGACCGTGTGTTTGTGGTGCAACTCCGCTCGGCGACGGTGCGTTGCAATGCCACGGACGCCACGCGGAGATCCATTGAATCGTCTTTGAGTGGGGGCGCGCGCCTCGTCCACATCCCCCGCCTGTAGACGCTGCCGTCCACCGCGGCTTCCAGCGGGCGGTGAGCCGCATGATTGAGCCGGACCAGGTCGACTACACGCGGGCGTGCGGGCGCATCCTCGCGCCTAGGTGCGGTCCTTCCTGGACAATCCCGAGGCCATGGGCGATCGTGCGGCAGAAGTACTGCAGGCGTTGGCCGCTGCAGCGCCGCCGAAAGCTTGGGCACCCGTGATGCGCACACTCGGGAACGGCTTGTGCACGAGACGTTTGATGGGGCAGATCGGCGGTATTGGGTTCAGTTTCAGCTGCGCCTGGGAAGACGCTTCAAGCGAGATCTACGTTTGCTGCCCTGGTGTCGCCGATTTTGCTCGTCGGCTTTTAGGACCGCCGTTTGCCCTGACCCCGCCAGACCAGCTGCTCGACTTCTTGCTGCTCGACCAGTGCCAGGCAGCCGCACCACCCCAAATCTGATTCGGCGTGCACTTCGCGCGGCCGCGGCGCACAAGGTACACAACCGTCGCAAGTGCGTGACCATCTGCACGGCATCGGTGGCGAGTGAAGCACCGCACCAGACAGTCGTCGATCTGGTGGCAGGGCACTTGCAGGCGAATCGGGCCTTGGACGCTGCTGGGCGCCGCCTTTTCTGACCGAGATGGCCGGCGCGCCATGTTGCACGCTTTTCAGCCAAGCGCGTTTGGCAACCACGCTGTCCACCCTCTCGCCTCCCTGCCCGCCTGGCAACGACCGTCTCGAGAGCCACGGGGCGTTGCAAGCATTTCACCTTTGCACCAGGACGACAGTCTCGAGTGCGCCGTTGCCCCTTTTATCTTTCCTCCTTGTCATCCCTCCGCTTTCCGCCGTGGAGCCGCGGATTCTTGCGCTGCTGGGCAGGCTGATTGATTCCAGTTGGTGCCTTGACCGCGCCGCTGTTGGCAGGAAGTTCCGCTTCTCTTTCCTCTTCCCTTTCGTCTCAAGTTGGGCACGTCCCTTTTTACAGGAGCCTAAACATAATATGGGGATAATGTTTTGAGCATCTTTGCTTTTTTTTCGCATCTCTCGGCTATCCTGCATCTTTCTTCCAAAATCCGCCTGCACGGGGACATGCCCGACCTAACCTTCGCTATCCGCCGCCGGCGCCCCTCCCCCCATCCCCCCCCCCTCCGTGAAGCCGCGCGCTCTGGTGTTCCTGGCCGGCCTGCCGACGCGAGCTGGAGCCGCGACCGCGCCGCTGCTGGCAGGACGTTCTCCTCCTCGACCCCCCATGCCAGGGCTCATTTCGTTTCGTCCGGTTCGATCCGGTTCGATGTCGATGGATTTCGGTTCCGATTCGCTTCGACCTCGGGTTCCGATTGGGGAGCCGGTGTCTCAGTGGAGGCCTACAGGCCTGCGGATGTCTGCCGATTCGACTTTTCCCGGCTCGGCTGCCGATCTCGTTCGATCCGATTTATGCCGGCTTCCGATCCGACTTGTCGATTCGATTCTGGGCTCTCTTGCCCGTCCGTCGTCCGCCGTCGGCGTCTCTCGCGTCCTCGTTCCCTCCCTCCCCCTTGTGCCGTGGTGTCGCAGAGGCTTGCTGTCCTGGCCAGCTGCTCGATGACAGCCGGAGCAGCGTGCGCGACTCTGCTGGCTGGTCGTTTCCCTTCTCTTTCCCTCCCTCCGCCGTCCGCCGTCGCCGGTGGCCCTCCGCCCATCCCCCCCCCCGTGCGCCGTGGAGCCGCAGGGTCGTGCACCCCTGGCCGGCTGGTGGATGCCAGTTGGAGCCGAGAGCGCGCCGATGCTGGCAGGACGTCCCCCTTCTCCTCCCGTCGTCCGCCGTGTTCCCTCTTCCCCGCCCCTTCCTCCCTGTTTGAATGCGTGTGCACTCTGTTCAGGCCAGCTGGGAGGGGCCATACTTGTGCCGAGCTGCTCGCTGAGGGCGGTGGTCCTCCATTCCCTCCCTCCTCCTTCCTCCCTCCTCCCTCCTTCCTCCTTCCTCCTTCCTCCTCCTCCTTCCTCCTTCCTCCTTCCTCCTCCTCCTCCTCCTCTTTCCTCCTTCCTCTCTCCTTCCTCCTTCCTCCTTCCTCCTTCCTTCTTCCTCCTCCTTCTCCCCCTCCTTCCTCCCCTTTTTCGCTGCTGCTTCCACGTTGTGTTTTGGCGCTGCTTGCGTGCGTGCAGGCGGGTCGAGGCCGTTGCCTCGCGCGGCAGTGTCCGCCCCTGTAGGCCGCCATGGTTTCCTGGGCCCGCACTAGGTCTGCATACAGCTGTTGCGGGGCGTGGCTCTCTCATGGCCGCGTCATTCGATCTTGGCGCTGGGGTGATGCTGAGGAGGAGGAAGCGATGATGATGGTGATGATGATGCTGATGATTTTGATGATGCTGCTGCCGATGGTGATGATGGTGATGATGATGATCATGAGTATGATGATGTTACCGATGATGCTACAGATGATGATACTGACGATGCTGATGATGATGCTTATGATGCTGATGTTGATGATGCTGACGATGGTTATGATGATTATGATGATTGTGATGAGGCTGCTGATGATGCTGGTGTTGGTGATGGTGATGGTCATAATGTATGTGATGATGCTGATGAGTATGATGGTGATGATGATGGTGATGATGATAATGCTGATGCTGATGCTCATGATGATGATGGTTTTGATGATGCCGATGATGATTATTGTTGTGGTGATGATGAGGAGGAGGACGAGGAGGAGGAGGAGGAGGAGGAGGAGGAAGAGGAGGAGCAGGAGGAGGAGGAGGATGTTGAGGAAGAGGAAGAGGACGAGGAGGACGAGGAGGAGGAAGAGGACGAGGATTGGCGAGTGCTTCGCACTTAGATCTAGCGCCTTCTTGTTTGCCATTCGTATTCGCGAACCTGCAGCACACCATCTGAGCTATTGTGTGTTTTTAGTGTTTCAGCCTGCTCCCTCTCTTTGCTTGTTCCCCCGTCGTTGCATGTCTGGAATTCGGGGTAGATTCAGACCTTGTGTCTGGTCCTGTACTGTACTGAGCTGCTGTTCCTTGCGTGCTGTTGTGTGATGCCCGATTCTATGAATGGTCGTCCGTGTCATGGGGGAGACATTCACAGCGGTTTAATACATCATTCATCTCTCCTCCCTCTCCTTCTCCTCCTCCTCTTCCTCCTCCTCCTCTGCTCCCTCCTCGGAGTCTTAGTGTCAGTTTGTTGGTCGCCCTGCCTTGTCCCAGCTGCGACCGTGCAGATTGCCACTGAGCTCTTCCCATCGCGATGCGATGTGGTGCTACGCTTTTCGATGCACGTGTCTCGTTGTGATCGCTTGTCCATGTATTGCGCGTATGTGATAGGCCCCCTGAGTGGCATAATATTGTCTCGGTATGTTTTTTCCTGGTTGTGGTTTTTGTTCGGGGGAACCAGTAGAGTCCACCCCAGTCCAGACAACTCCAGTCAAGTCTACGTATGTTCACTCCAGTCCACATCATTTCAGTCTTCTGATCTGTTTGGAGTCTGCGCTGGCTGATATCTTATGGGTGCCTTCGGAGACGTCCAGGGACCTCCTCCCGAGGACTCTGGGGACCCCTCGGGACCTCGGGAGACCCCTTCAGGCAGTTACGGGTGCTGTCATGGTGGAAGCGCTCTTGGAGTCCGCGCCTCCTCATCTTCGTCTTAATGTTTTGCGTTGGCTCGGGCTGGACGAAAGGGTAGGACAGGGAAAGGGGTTACGAAATCTGCTCCATGCAGCTGCTTTTCGCCCCGCCGCGGGGCCCATTCCTCGATACACAGGCCCCCGGAGCCAGGAGGCGCCAGGAAGCCCAGGAGGCCAGGAGGCCCCAGGAAACATCAGTTAGGTGAGCCGATTCTCGACCCTGCTCTTCGCTATCCTACCCTTTCGCCCCCCCCTGTTCAGCTGCTAGGCTTCAGCGTCTCCTCCTCTTCCTGCTTCCTCGGCTCGAGCAGGAGGGAGGATGGAGATGGAGGGGTTGGACACAGTTACTTCCAGTCCCACGAGGCGCCAGGGGCAACCAGCTGCATCAGGCTTGTTCGCTATAGCTCCCCGTTGCTCCCACCCTGTCGTCCACCCCGAGAGGTCGTCGTCGTCGTCGTCGTTGTGAATCGTCGCCGCCGTGATATTCCTCGTCGCCGCCGCCGCAGCCGTAGTCGTTGGCATCATCATCATCATCATCATCATCATCATCATCGTCATCATCATCCTCCTCCTCCTCCTCCTCCTCCTCCTCCTCCTCCTCGTCGTCGTCGTCGTCGTCGTCGTCGTCGTCGTATTCGTCGTCGTATTCGTCGTCGTCGTCGTCGTCGTCGTCTAGGGCCAAGGTTCGAGATCTCTGTTGACGTTTGTGCGCCTCTCGGGGACCTGGAACGCCCTCGTCGTCACCGCTTGATTCCCTCTGAAGCTCTTGTCAGACCACCCCAGACATGAGAAAGAGAGAGAGAGAGGTTTTGGGTCGTCGTGCGTCGTGGAGCGAGCGGAGGAGGGAATGATTCTGTTCTACGCGTTCTGGTTTCTGTCTTTGGGCCTTCCCGGAGGGGCTCGTTGTCGTCACGGCTAGGTTTGCCACATCTTGGACAAGTCAGGACGTCCGATCGGTGGGGCGATTCCAGTGAGCCTCCCTTCCTTTTCAACCCCTCCGCGTCATTGTGCCGATCAGCGTGTTCCCCTCCCCTCCCTGTGCACTCTCCCCTCTCACCTTCCCCCCCCACCCTCGGAGATCCTGGATCATGCGTCAGCGTCCTGGTCAGTGTGTCCCTTCTCCTCCCTTTGCACTCTCCCCTTCTCACCTTTCTTCCCCACCCTCCGAGATCCAAGATCATGCGGCAGTGCCCTGGCCAGCTGACCAAAGCTAACCTTAAATCGGGCCTGTCCCTTTACAGGAGGAATATTTAAAGATAGTAAAGAAATAATGCGGGGACGATTTTTTGTTGTTTTTTGCTATTTGGGGGTATGTGTTGGTGCATTTTTAATGTTTCGCCCAAGATCCCCCTGTAGGGGGACAGGCCCGACCTAAAGCTAACCTGCACCTCTCTGCGCCCCTCGCATCCGCCTCGTCCCTGCTCCGAGCCGCGGCTGGTGCCTTCTGGCAGCCCTCCTCCCTCCTCCTCTTGCTTTGTGTGTCCTCCACCTATCGCAATCTCCTTGCTCGTCCCGCTCATTTTTCTTTCTGCCCCCATCTTCATCCACGCAATCCAGGATGTCCCTCTCCCTTTTCCAGGGCCCCCCCCCCCCTTGTGTGCCTTCGCACCCGATGCGACCAATTCCTCCCCATGCTCCTAAAGCCCCTTTTTCCACCTCCTCCTCTTCATCTTTCTCGTCCTCCCTCCTCGTCCTCTTCCTTGTCCTCCTTCTCTTCCAGACTGTTGTCCTTTGACTGAAAATCTCATGGTTCTTGCACTTGTCTTAGCTCCTACCAAGGCCGCAGCCGCTGCCCATGGCCATGTGCCCCAGGAGACCATCGCCGATTGTGGAGAAGGAGGAGGGGGGGGAAGGAGGAGG